TTAGAGGGAAAAACAGCTTATGGTCTATTTATGTGGACGTCAGAAAAGTAAAACAGTGATGCTTTTACTTGGGTACCAGATGGGTGAACATGCCTTTTGCCATTACTGTTACACTCGATGCAGCATTTTGGAAAGTCATAGATTTCAAGAATTGTTCAATTCTGTAAGTGACGAAACCAGCTCTATGCACGGGTGGAGACAGCTGCTAGTTGTCACTGTCACATTGTCTTCTTTTCGGTTGACCAGTCGCAGTCTGACAACTGACCTACCTTCACAGGCCTGCTGATCTTCTCTATTTATGAGCTAACCTCTCGATTGTGACAGTATGTGAAGCCCACCTGTGGCATCCAGTCTGTTCAACTCTATCCTTCAAGACTCCGAGCCAAACTCTAGTCTCATCCTTTGATTTATTTGTCACAATGTACCTTATCTCATGTAGCACTATAGCCTCGAATGGTCGCCTCTTGTTCCAAAATATTTTCTTCGACAGATTACTACAGGAACAATAATAGCTCTGATAATAACGTTAAACCCCATTAATTGTCTTCACACTCAAAGGAGGCAGTTTATGAACGCAAACAGTTCTCTTTGTACCAGGTTTGAAAAAAGGGGAGAGGAACAGACACCCCAGCTGTTTACACAGAGCAGGAGTTATGCCATTATAATAATCCATTGCTATTACCATATAGATGACTATATTAATAGCCAGCTGCCTGTCATACGCTGATAGGATAAGTTGCCGGCTCCCAGTAACCGATTTGCTGCCACAGGCAAAATCTGAACACCCAGGGCATGCAGATATGTCCATAACGATTAGCAAAGTCAGACTACAAATTTTACCAATAGCAGAGAATTTTAGGATCTGTTTTGATGTGCTTTCGACATCTTCATTAGCCTCGCTGAAGATATTGGAATAATCTGTCATGTGGAACAGTTCGTGTGGGTGTCTGCCAAGATGGTGCTTAAAGGGGAATCATCCCTATTATGGAAATTACATCACTGAATAAAATATTGAAAATCACTTATAACATGTGATAACGGACAGTCTAAGCACCAATGTGAATCTGACCCATAGATGTTGCACCTTGCTGTTTCACAGATCACAACAGACAAGTTTTCATGAAACAGGACTATTAACATTTTGCAAAGCACGCGCCCCTAGTGGTTGTCTGAATAATTGGATCTATTTTACATCCAGCGTCCAATGCTTTTTTTGAGAAGAGTAAAATTGGCAGATCGTGGCAATAGCCAGGCATGCGCCATATGTCCGCAGTTCTTCTCTGTGAGAAGTATTTGATTTGACAAAAGTCAGTTGGTTTCACTAGTTCAAAGTAGGATGATGGGTTGCGAAGAGGATTACAGGTAAGTTTAATTGTAATTTAAAAATCTAATTTTAATTAAATAAGCAGGGGATAAAAAAAATATATTTTTTAGACTGTTTTTAACTTTCTTTTCGTGTGTCTCTTTTTCCCCTCTGAATCCAGTTCAGTCCAGGCTCAGCCAGGGTGCACAATGCCTCAGAGATGAAGAAATAAAAACATTTGGGGTTATTTACAAAAAACTGCCGAATTCACTTTGTTTGTGGCACTTTTGTAAGAATACACCATTTTGAAAAATAGAAAACTGTTACTTTATATTAGACTTGTACAAAAATTGATTTGGGATTTTTATTCACCCCCGAATTAATCAATGTGTCTGGGAACTACCTGTTGAGTCTTATTCAATGAATAAGTCTTCATAGGTAAATCCCGAACAGATCGATTTGTTCAGGCATGGATCAAAAGGGATTTGATTCGGACGAACCTCTTGAACCAATTTTTGCACAGGTCTACATTACACATTGGTGTCTTTTCTACTCTCCTTTTCTGTAAGGCTCCCGAATAATCCACTTTCTGACACTTTTTATTCCAATTTAAATCTTCTGCTCCTTTTTTTACCTTGCATTCCTTTCTGGCCATTGGTTGTCTTCTCCTTCCTGATGTAATTTGTAAAGAGGTCTCTCTGCAAACTGAGAAATGCAATGCCTGGGTTTTTTTGTGAGTTTTTTTTTTTTTTTTTAAGGAATTGTGTAAAACTTTCTAATAATAATATACAGGGTGACCAAGATGCAGGCAATCATTTCAATTATATATTTATTAATTTTATATAAAAGCTTCTTTCTAAAGCACTTTATGCAAAATAGTTTATTCACCCATAATTATTCACCCACTCCAATGGGGTCCCGAGTGCTACTTGGAAAATATTTGATCAAGACATTTAATGAAAATAAACATTATTTTATATATTGCATCAGCACCATATCATTTTTACATGTGGGGTGTCCTTATTGCTGTGTGGACCGAACACCCCAGTTTTTCATCTTCAGCTTCTGGTGAGAAGATTACTGTCTATTATGGGAAATCTATTTCTATTTTAATTCATTCTGTCCTCGTTACACTCTACTTATACAGCCATGAAACATGCATTTATCATACACTTTCTGTATTAACCATTCTATGCCAGAGAGCTGTGAGCAATGCATGGAAATTGCATAGCGTGCCGTGGCTTTATTTTAGCTGGCCAGGCATTACCTGTAATGACATCAGCATCCCAGACAGACAGAACGATGGACAGGTAAATATAAATTATCTTGTGATGGGTCCCCTGACAACAGTCAGCTGAATTCTCTCATAGAGATTCAGTGAAAGAAATTGATCAAAACAATTCCCTTGTTTTTACAGCTCTAGGTCGCCCCCTACAGTCTGACATCTGAAACAAAGTACACTCTTGGCTACTGGGTAAGTAAACCTGTTCAAGACCAATGGTCCCATTCACCTTTTGCAAAGCAACTCTTCTTTGGTGTATTCGTTCAGCTCTGAAAGGGTTAACATTAAGTAAGCTCAGAGTAATCTAGGAAATGTGCATTGTTAGTATTTCGACTTGTTTGTTAGAATCATATTTAAAGGGACACTATAGTCACCAGAACAACTACAGTTTAATGTAGTGGTTATGGTGTCTATAGCATGTCCCTGCTTTTTCAGAGAAAATGCAGTGTCTACATTACTGCCTAGTAACACATCTAGTGGCTGTCACTCAGACGGCCACTAGAGGTGCTACCTAGTCCAGTGCTGCACATCGCTCAGCATCTCCATGCTCTGCATGGCAAAGCACTGTATTTTGCTTTGCTTCCTATGGGAAAGCATTGGATCTGCTGAGATCATAAAGTTTGATGGAGGCACGCCAGCTGCAGTGAGACCATTGCGGCGTGGGAGAATAGGTCAATTTAAACACCTTTTCACTGTTCTCACATGGGAAGCAGACACCGAAAAAGAGGTTTTAACATGACGGTGTTAGGAATACATGTTTGTGTTCCTAACACTATAGAGTTCCATTAAGGTGATAGTGTTTATCTACTAAACAGTGAACTGTGATGGACTGAAACTTGCATCATAGCACTTAGGTCAAAAATAGCTGAGCTGGAAAATTATCTAATCTGTCCCTTTTTCCAACTTGTGTTTCAGGTGAATGGGCAGATTTCTGGGATCTTGGGCAGATTAATTGTTATATTGTTACAAGTGAGGAGCAATGATTTCTGGGAGAGGTGGCACACTCTTTTGATAAACAGCCCAGACCAAATTTGGGGTACAGAGGGTGACTTTTTTAAGTGTGTCCTAAGGTCCAGCCCCATGTGCTCCCAGTATTCAGTGCTCACCTTCCCTCTCTGTAAATCAATTCATTATCAGCGACCTTTAATAAGGTCAGGTGAGAGATCTACTGAAAGGAGTTGATAATTATCTGCATATCGACTATCTCCCAATAGCATTGAATATTGATCCAGGGCAGGAGAACTTGGCCTATTGAAAAATAACAATTGAGAATGAAACTAATATGTGTTCAATAGCTGAATAGGGAATGACGAATCTTGCGGCAAGCAGGTGAAGGACTCAATGTCCTTGTAACGTCCACAGCTTCCTCTGTGTACGTGTCAGACACATTGTGTGGTCTCGTGTTATGCTTCTCCAGCCTGTGTCTGCTTCTCAACACCTCTACGTCTGTCTCTGCTACGTTCTTTCCATATCTCTTCAGCCTTTTGTTTTTGTCTAACTTTTCTGTCCCTCTCTCTATCTGTCTCTCACTTCAATGTGCTCTCTCTTTATTGATGTTTGTGTCTCTCTTTCTCATTTCACGTTTCTCTCTCATGCCCTTGTCTGTCTCTCTTTCTCACTAAGACTCGGATCATCCCTCTCGCTTTCCCTTATTTTTCTTCCATCTCAGACTGTGTTGTTCACCTTTTCCTTATTCAATCTATTTTATTTAATCTGTTTTCCGTAAATATTTCATTGTTTCATTAACTCACACTTTTTTTTATCACATTTCTTCATTTTTCCTTCATTTTTGACTTGTTAAAAAATATTAAAATCCCAATATCTGATCACATCCCCTCCTTTACTCACACATTGAATTGTAGGCACAATGTTTAGGACAAAATAGACATATTGGAAACATTCAAAGTATGGACCTGGGATAGGCAAACTTCGGCACTCCAGATGTTGTGGACTTCATCCCCCATAATGCTCTTACACACAAAATGTCGGCAAAGCAGGTGCAGGTGCAGTTCAAAACATCTGGAGTGCCGAAGGTTGCCTATGCCTGGACCATAACAGATGACTTGGAAAAGTTGGCTTTCTGATGAAGCTATTATCAACTTTTGGACACATCAACAAAGCACTTTTTTTTAAGATAAATGTGTTCTGTAAAATGAGTGCTTAGAGTGTATTGTCCCCTTTAATTACTTAATAAAACCCTAGATTGCACCTGCACTATTTGAAAGCTATGGAAGCAAACTTTTTTTTTTTTTTTTTAAATGGCTGCTGGTTATAGCTTCTCTTTAAAGGACACCCGACATGCCCCAAACAACTTATGTTCATTAGATTGAGCTTAAGATATGTTTTTCTAGCAAATGTATATATCAGATGAAGAACCTATTTAAAAATGTTTTTTTTTTTCCCAGCTGGAACGGAGGAAAAGTGAGTAGATCGTTATATATCACATTGATTACACAAAGGAACCTTTATGATATATGATGTATTTAATGTATATGGGAGCGATTTCAGGTAAGTTGTTTTTCGCGTAACAGGTTCACTTTAAGAGACACATGGACTAAGGATCAGAAAATGACTTCTCTCTCCCTGCAAGCTGGTCCAGATGATGTCAGTTAATGCCAATGAACCTCTGTGCTCTACCGCAGCCAAACTCTGTTATACAGATTATTTTCAAATTGCAAAAACATAATAACGCAGTACGGCATCTTGTCCCTCCCTGCATTCCAAGACGACTTCGAAGCTATAACAACGGGAAATAAAGAATTCAGAAAAAAGTCCAAACTTTCCGTTATTACTAAGAATGTCAGTGGAATGAACACAATGAGTTACACTGTGTCTTAAATTCGACTTTTCTTTCCCAAAAGCCTCATCTCGGAAGGCGAAAAGTAAACTCTAGACTTCAGTAAAATTTATTCAGGCTCTAAAATACTGAAGGAAATTTAACTCGGCTTTATAGGGGGAAAAAAAAGCATATTTTAGAGAGTGGAAAAGAGAACGAACTCTCATTACAAGATATCATGCTGAGCGCAGAGGACGCAGAGCAGTACAGTAGGCGATTGACTTAAACGATCAGGGGTGGATTCATGGAAGTGGTTCCCAAAGGGCATGGTATGTTAGTACAATAAAGACCAAAGTTGTATAGATAGGAACAAGGCTCTCCTGTAGACAAGATTGTTAAGTTCACAGTAGCTACGTAGCTTACAAAAATAAGGAAAAGGAGAACCATGATGTAAAGTCACTACAACAGAGACTTGTGTTTCTCCATAAGTAATAATTATTGCTATTTGGTATCAATCTGCCTGTCTCTCCCACCCCCCCTCCATAAGATGTTCAATAGACTGGTAACCAAATTCCTAATCTCTTCCATAATGATAGAAGTGCTGGTAAAGTGATTTAAAAACTATGTTTTATAGTTATTAATGTGAATAAAATCTCAATTCAGAAAACTTACAATTTAATTTCTCGTACTTAAATCCAATGTACTTTATGACATTTACAGCCTACATTCTGGAATTGCAGTCAGCTAAAAAAAAAAAGTAATATTAATAATAATTAATAAAAGACTAAGATTGCCATCTGACCCGCCTCCACCAAAACACACACTAACATTGTTTGCCTCGTAAGTTGCCGTTTTACATCAGTTTTCAATCATCTCGAATCGGTCCAGAAAAGGGAGCCGACGTTTTGTTTAAAATGCACTCATGCAGTCCTATAGCATGTGAGCCTTGAAAACACCTGGCATAACTATGCATAACTATGCAGTCCTGTCCAAAATACTCTGGCCCAAAAAAAGTATTATAATCCAGAGAAGGAACACAGAAAAGAAGGAAAGGAAGCTGTGTTGGTTCTCAGGTCTAACGGGATGTCCTAATGGATTTAGCTACAGATGTCTTCAGGCAAGAGCATAGTTAATCTCTTCCACTTAAATTCGGCACCATTACATGCCCCATCCATTGCTATACACAGATATATAAGGAAGTAAGGTCTTGTGGGATGATGTCTGAGAGGAGTTAAGAACAGTTGAGTTTAGATGGAAGGGTTATTAAGGTTTAGTAGTGGTTCAAGCTCAGGATATTTTTGGAAATTAGTAATGCCCCTGCCTGGTCTTCCGACTTTTGATGCTACAGTAACTAGCTGGCACAAGCCTTGTTGGTGATGCTGTTGGCACGATCTTGAGACTGACTCTGACAAGACAAATCCTCATAATGGTAAAGAAAGGAAGAAGGCAGCACTGGACGGGAAAGTGTTCCATTGTAGAATATTCCATAGAGGACCCAACATTAACCAGTTGACCAAGCACCCCAAGAACAGACTGCAACCTCATAGCATCTCCTTAGTGAACACAAAGCCATGCATTCTTTCTGCTACCTGCTGCATTTAGAGAGACACTCCACTGCCCACATACAAAAATAAAAATGGTTGTTTAGGAGATATATCCCAAATGAAACTTTGCATGCATTTAATATGCATTTTTTCATTGAGTGTATATCTAAAAAAAAAAAAAAGCTTGCAAAACCTGCAGTTCTCTTGTCTGCTGCCTTTGCAAGCCCTCCCCTTCTAACCCCGCCCAGACTATTCGTCGCTGTCCAATCACAGACTTCCCAATGCAGCTCAATGAGAAGTCTTTACAAGGCAGTTGCTCTGGGCCTCTTGAGTTTAACTCCACTGAGCTAACCAAACCAGGAAGTAACAGGACCTGTTGTGTGACTGACAACCATGGGGTGTAGCCAGGTTAATTTATAAAAGTGTCAAGTTCTGAGACCTGCACTTTTTCCGAAATGACACACTCTTGCTTCAGGAGTCTGGAATGTTCCTTTTATATAATAATAGCTTGCCGGGGGCACTCTATGGTACGTATAAATTTTTCTTCAAGTATATCACTAGAGTAGCATTAAGACTCTTTTCATCCGTACATCAGAACCTCTGTAGTTAACCATTTCAAAATGATTTAGTTAATCCCTTCTTCAAATCAAAACTTAAATGCTATCCTTCCACTGTCATGGGTCAAATTAGTGTATTTACTGTCCATTCATACCTCTGTTCTATCCCACACTTGTTGCAAGAATGACCAATCTTTCACCATCTACGTGTTATATGTCCAACTGAATTCAGAGCCGCGTTGTATCGGTAGAAGCATCTAATCATTTATTTTCATGAAAGAACTGCATCAAAAGACCAGCAAGACTTTGTAGGCTAAACACAGATCTCTTAGAAAGAACTATAGAAAGAGAGAGAAAGAATATCTTCAGAAGTCAGGTGGAATTCAACTTTTAAATTTTTTTATTTTTATTTTTTTCAAAGAGATTTTCCCGTATTATTTGCTCTACCAAGAGACATGTAAAATACGAGAGAGGAGATCAAGATGGGGAAGGGGAAACACCAACATGTGGTAGGATTAAAGGAAAGAACATGCTTTTAGGATAAAAAGACAAAGTAATATCTCAGGTGTATTTTGGAACAGTTTTCGAGCTATTACACAGTTTTTGAATTTCTCTTTGATGATAAAGTTTCATAGCAGAATAAATTGCCTCATTTTATCCAATACCAATGGCGCATGGCTTATTTCCTGTAATTATGCTAAAACTAAAGCATCACTTACTTACGTAGAATATTTTTCTGTTTCGTGATTGTATAGTAGAGCATTGACCTGCTATAAATGTCACGGCCAATATCTAAAAATGTTAAGAGTCAGGTCGGTCCTTTAACAGGACCTCCATCATTATATGATGCATATAACATTTCCTTAGAAAAATCATATTATTACATATACCCTGCTAACACATATTAAAATAACTCCTCCTATTACTCCAAATAACCGTTGTTATAACTTCTATAACTCTATATAGCCCTCCTTATAACTCCTTCTATTACTCCATATAACCTTCCCTATAAGTCCTCCTATAACGCTGTATAACCTTTTCCTATAACTCCTCTTATTACTCCATGTAACAGCTCCCAATTGCCCTTCTTTTTACTCTATATAACACCTCTCTATTACTCTATATAACACCTCCCTATAATTCCTCCTATTACTCTATATAACACCTCCCTATAACTCCTCCTATTACTCTGTATAACCTCTCCCTATAAATCCTCCTATTACTCTGTATAACACCTCCCTATAACTCCTCCTATTACTCCATATAACCCTCCATATAGCTCCTTCTATTTCTCTATATAACCCTTCCTATAATTCCTCTTATTATTCCATATAACCTTCCCTATAACTCCTCTTATTACTCCATATAATCCCAATCCCAGCCAATCCAAGGCTTCCACATAGGAAAACATTGGGAGGCTAATGCACATGCATGGTAACTGCATTAATTGTATTAGACGAATGCTTCTCTATGGGGAGCGGTTGGCGTCTTCATGTAGAGTGTACGATTGCAGGATTACACCAGGAAGGGAGTCTACTGGCTATTCTCAGACAAGGCAGTGTTTACAATTGTCAGACTAGAGGGACATTATCTTTGCACCACAACTACTACATTAAGCTGTAGTGGTTCCGGTGCCTAGAGTGTCCCTTTAACTCTTGTATAAGTCCATGTAGGATGTAAGCTTATTTGAGCAGATCCCTTAACACCCTCTGTTCATGTGCATCCAATTAATTATTTGTAAATGTAATATAATCCCTTTATTCCTCCTATTACCCTGTTACTCATCCTCTAATTGCTTCAGCAAATATTCCTGTAATTCACAATAATGCCTTGCCTTAGTTAAAACAATAGACAGGTCCTCATATCATAATTATTTTGTTCTGTAAATTGCTGAGCTTGGCTAAAATATGGTTGAACTTGGAGCACTTAACTAATTGATTAATTAATTAATTAACTATGAGTTCTTGGTGAATTCTCGGCGTGCACCGTATCACAGAGGTGAATTCTCAGGAGCACAAGACGAGGCACCCTCTGGGGCCAGGTTATATGATGTATCCTTAATCTAATCCCACACTCCTTTACATAATAATTCAGGGTTATTCACTGAAGTGGGATTTATTGGGAATTCAGAGTCAATGAATAACTGAATCGAGAAGAGTGTCCAAGTCTGCTGTGGTTTTTTTTTTCAGTTTAGCTATGTGTGACCTACAATTCACTTTGACTTTCCATAGATTCTCACTTTATTGAATAGAACTGTGTGATTTATTCACCAAATTAAATGTAGGGTAAAGAAGCCACATTTCAACTATTACTGAGTGGCAGAATGTTTCCCAAATTGGCATTTATTGCCTCTATTTTTCAATTTCGATTTCAATCCATTACAGTACGCAGTTTATTAAACAAACCCAAATGAGTGATGAGTCGTTTTACATCATATTTGTTAAAGGGACACTATAGGCACCCAGACCACTACAGTCCTTGAAGTGGTCTGGGTGCACTGTCCTGGGCCCCTTAAAGGACCACTATAGGCATCCAGACCACTTCAGCTTAATGAAGTGGTCTGGGTGCCAGGTCCAGCTAGGTTTAACCCTTTTTTTCTATAAACATAGCAGTTTCAGAGAAACTGCTATGTTTATAATAGGGTTAATTCAGCCTCTAGTGGCTGTCTCATTGACAGCCGCTCGAGGCGCTTCCGCGCTTCTCACTGTGATTTTCACAGTGAGAAGACGCCAGCGTCCATAGGAAAGCATTCAGGCTGAATGCGCGCGGCTCCTGCCGCGCATGCGCATTCAGCTGAGGAGGAGGAGAGGAGGAGGGGAGTCCCCCGGCCGGCGCTGGAGAAAGAGGTAAGTTTAACCCCTTCCTTTTCCTGGCACTATAGTGGTCCTTTAACCCTGCAATTGTAATTATTGCAGTTTTTGATAACTGCAATAATTACCTTATAGAACTCCACCTCTAGTGGCTGTCTACCAGAATTAGGACATTCACAGTTAAAATGCCATGCAGAACTTAATTTCTTAAAGTTTCTTACATTTTATTAATATTAAATTCTGTTTCATATATAAATATTTGATATGAAATGAAAGCCTTGTTTCTCCTGAAAAAAGTGATATATAATAAGTGTGGGTGCACTTAATATGAAAGAGGTGAATTACAGTTGTACAACGCTACGGAATTTTGCTGGCGCTAGATAAATAATAAAATAATAATAATTACGGTTGAACGGACATATAGCGCAAATTCACGGTTTTGTTTACGTTTTGTTTTGATCAGAACTTGTACAATTGGCTCCGTCCTTAAGGGGTTAATAAACTCTTCGTAAGTCATAAGAGTTATTTACTAAGCTTCGTATTTCAGAGTATTAAGTCCAAATTTTTTTTTTAAAGCTAAATTAGCTCCTCTGGCAAAACTCTCCGAATCGTTTATCGTCACAGCTTGTTTTTTGTTTACCTTCAGATTTGCCATTTGGATTTAATTTGCTAAAATTTAGTGCTTAGTAAATAACCCTGTAATTGTGCTCTCTAACAGTGAGTAATGTTGAAATGAAGATTGTGTGACTAAATTTCATACTAGGAACCTCCAAGTTTGATTAGCAAAATTTAAAACGGCTGTCACATTTTTGGGTCCTTTCAATTAACTTTTGTGTCTTTTTGAACATTTCACAAATATTTAATCTTGACCTATGAAATGGGTGGAGGGGGTGGTTAAGATAAAACATTCAAGCTGCAACTATAGCAGAGGGTAATATTTTTATTTATTTTTTAACAAATCAACCATTTTTTACTCTATTTTACAATTTGGTTCTGAGCTTGTTACAAATCTGTGTTTTTATGAGTGATCCCTGTTTGTTACCTGCTTTACATATCCAACTGTACATACTGTATATGACTTTATATCCCTAGATAGAGCCATTATTTCACATTATGCTGATAGTTTGGAAATGCGCATGCCCAAAAATACAGAAATATAATTTTTTAAAAATTTTATTTTAAACTTTTTGCTGTGTCCTTAATTTATGATTAATGCAACCTGTGCTTGAAACCTATTTTAGATGTTATTATTAGCCATTTAAATTCTCTACACGTGAGTACAGAAATGGGTAGATTAAATGTATAATTTAGAAGATATTCTTCTCGTAGATATTAAAGGACCACTATAATGTCAGGAAAACAAATTCATTTTCCTGACTCTATCTCATCCTTAGCCCTCCCCCTCCCTCAGGGCCCCCTCAGCCACTTACCTTTATCAAGCGCCGGGCTTCCTCGGCGCTGGTGACCTCTCCTCCCCCGACATCAGCTCCCAAGTGGAGCCGAATGCGCATGCACGTCCAGAGCCGCGCCTGCATTCAAACTGCCCATAAGAAAGCATTTCTCAATGCTTTCCTATGGACGTTCTGCATGCTCAATGCGATTTTCGCATTGAGCGTCGCAGAAGCGCCTCGAGCGGCTGTCAGGAAGACAGTCACTAGAGGCTGGATTAACCCTGCAATGTAAACATAGCAGTTTCTCTGAAACTATGTTTACATCTGAAGGGTTAAAACCTGGGGGACCTGGCACCCAGACCACTTCATTGTCTCGAGGGCTGCACCGTTCCTTTGGAACTCGCTTCCCTCCTCCGTTAGATGCTCACCCAGTCTCCAGTCCTTCAAAAATCATTAAAATTCTATTTCTTAATAAAAGCGTATCAATTAAACTGTTAATAACTCTTGACTGATTCCTCTCTTGCCACTGCCATTAGTCTAATACTATCCTTACCTTTTGTGTCACTATATCCCACTCCCTCTAGCATGTAAGCTCATTGAGCAGGGCCCTCAACCTCTCTGTTCCTGTGTGTCCAACTTGTCTGGTTACAACTACATGTCTGTTCATCCACCTATTGTACAGCGCTACTGAACTTGTTGGCGCTATATAGGTCCAAAGGATTCCAGCTTATTTTTTTCCGTTCCACTGCCCCCAGTCAATCACCAGACGTATATGATTTAAACTGACCTGGTTGTTTAATAGATAGATGTAGAGTTATTAGAAATATAGATAAATAGACAGACAGATATACCACAGTGTGCCACAGTGTTCCAAGTATGAACTAACCCCAAGCACAGCTGAGTTAATGATTACCTTAGCCCAAAGCTCCATAAATCTGCATTAATTCACAAGAATTCACTGTTTAGCTAACAGTAAATAATAAAGTCTCTGGTGCCCCCAGTATCTGGCAGTGAAGAGGTTAAATGTAAACTGAATGATGTGTGAGATTTTTAATACTCCCAGTCCTTGCTGTACTGCAAGTCATCTGTCAGTGTATAATAACTCACTGTTTAGTGAATAAAGACCCAATAGCATTGATTTCATAAAAAAAGATATATAATAACGATAAATTGCCACAACATAATAACTCTTTGTTGTTGATGTTTCCAAATACGAAAATGGCTAATTGCTATATTTAATTATTATAATAACCTGCAGGTATCAAAGTAAAGCTAGTTATTAGCAGAGCAAGTAAGTCATCAGAGCCAATTATCTGCAATCATTGAAAGTAGAAACATTTTTAGAAAAACAAAAATTAAAAAATAAAAACATTCTAGAAATGTTATGATACATGAAATTAAAGCAGTCCCTGCTGGGGAATAAATACAGGGGAATTCTGCAAACGGAAAATGAGAAATATAAGAGGGAGGGGGGTAATCAAAGGGGGGATGCCCCTGAAAGGGTTAATAAGATGTCTCTAAGGGCAGTAACTTTGTAGCAAGGTGACTGGTGAGCACAGAGGATGGAGAAAGTAAGACGAGGATGCAGTGAGGAAAAAAGACAAATCAGAAGAAAGGAAGGAATGAGAAGAAAGAGAGATGGAGAGAGGAGGAGGGTGAGAAGGAGATAGAAGATACACGTCACAATCCCCCTCCTTCCTTCTCTGCTTCTTTCCTGCGCTCTTTCATGCTGATAAGAACCCTTAGTCTTCTTCTCCAGAAGGTCCCCTTCCTGGGTTCTTCTGCACCCAGGTTGACCCTCACATGGAGACCAACTCCAGCAGCCCGGGGAACCTGTCCCACGTGGACCTGGGCTGGTCCAACACCAATGAGTTGATCATCACCTCTACTTTTGGGACCATCCTGTCTCTGATGTACGTGGCAGGGGTCTCAGGCAATGCCTACACCTTGGTGGTCATGTACAGCTCCACGAAGACAGTAGCCAACATGTACATCTCCATCGTGAACCTAGCCCTGGCTGATCTCCTCTACCTGTCCAGCATCCCGTTCATTGTCTGCACCTACTTTGTCAAGGACTGGTATTTTGGGGATGTGGGGTGCAGGATCTTGCTCAGCTTAGACCTCTTCACCATGCATGCCAGCATCTTCACCCTCACTGTCATGTGCACTGAGAGGTACGTGGCTGTCACCAAACCCCTGGCCAGTCTGAAGAAGTCCAATTATTACAGAAAGAGCACAGCCCTGGGTGTGTGGTCAATCTCCCTAATTCTCACCTTGCCCATGATGATGATGATGACATTAACAGAGTCTAAGGGTAAGCAGGTGAAGAGGATGTGTGCCCCAACTTGGAGTCTAGATGCCTACAGGATCTATCTGACTGTCCTGTTTAGCACCAGCATTATGGCCCCAGGACTGATCATTGGCTTTCTGTACACCAGGCTGGCCACCACATACCTGGAGTCTCAGAAGAACCCTATTTACATCAAGGAGAACAAAAAGTCCCCAAAACAGAAAGTGCTCTTCATGATCTTTAGCATTGTCCTGGTGTTCTGGGCTTGCTTCCTTCCCTTCTGGATTTGGCAGCTGATCAGACTCTATGACATGTCCCCCCAGCTCTCCTCCCAGACCCAAACATGTATCAATTACCTGGTCACCTGCCTGACCTACAGCAACAGCTGCATTAACCCCTTCCTTTACACCTTGCTCACAAAGAACTACAGTGAGTACCTGAGTAACAGGAAGAAAAAGTTCTATAGATTCACTTCCAATTATAAGATGGAGAACTCCAGCTTTCAGTGTTCCTCCTGGGGTCGGTCCATGTCCTCCACCCACTGTGACTGTATGTCTGAGACCATAGGCATGGCAGGAGTCAGGGACCTCAAGTGATGGCCAGGGGATCCAGGCACAGAATCCAGAGCAGGTATGTGACCCTTCCATACTGGCAGCCTGGTAAACCTACTAGACAATCTAACAGGCCAACCATCTCCCCCTAGGAGTGTCTCATAAAATGCTCATTTCAGAGCTTTAAATGAGGTTAATGGGTGGGTTTGTGGTCACTAATTGTGCATTAACCCTGAGTGTCACTCAGCTTGTCAGAATTTCCGAAGGCATTTAAAAGGTCAATGAGTTATCTTTACTATCTATAATACATTAACCCATGAGTGCCAATGTAGGGTGGGGAAGAGGGCTGGGGGTTAATGGTTTAACTTTTCCATAGGGGGAATTATAATTCTAAGCACTGGTTAACTACTAAATAAAGTACTGGTACCTTACATGGGTATTAGAATAGGAAGGGATTACAAACAAGGCATGGACAACTTTTTAACCCATTGTTTTCCAGAAAGCCCAGCATATGGATGTACTGAGAACTGGAGGTTCCAGCTCAGCCCAGAGACTCTGTACAGTGAACATTGAATACATGTGGCTCCATATAACACTCTTATTCTGATACAGATGGCTCCAAACAACATCATTGTCCTGATCCAGGTGAAGTAATAGTACTTACAGTAACATAGTAACTGCCATTCTGTGTCTGTATGCAGAGAGTGAGGGGTACACTGGCTAAAGAGTGCAATGGGAATTCCTCACTGTAAGGGTTCTGTATATTGGTGCAAAGTTCTATAAGTGAAGAATTAGGCAGCAGCATTCCATTGGTTTCCTAGGTGACTGCTCCACCTTTAGCACTTTGCACCAGACTTGGTCTTAACAAATCAAGGTTCCTGGAGTTCCTGTTCATGTAGAAATGAACCATCTCTCTGTAACCAATCAAATCATATATATAACATCTCATATACCTGGTACACAGCCCTCCCACAACGTTTATAGATGATCCAAATACTATCTGCTGTAAATGTTTTCATCTCATATAACAGACTCCAATAATGTCTGCCTTAACCCTTAATACTACTATATATCTTCCCCTTTCCTATTCATTACAAGGTCTCCCCTACGTGTTTACATTGGGCATCCTTAATAAGCTAACTTGTATGTTCCTTAAGTACAATTAAAGGGCCAGTTTGGGCCCTATAACAATGTCATCGAAATGAATGGCGCTGGCTCACCTATAGGGGTTAAACAGTCCACGAACGGTTTAACCCCAAGGTCTGTGTTCCAGCACTGCATTACTGGGGCATCGCTGGTTGACTGAGAGTGGCCAGTTGACACTCTCAGCCAATCAGTGATTCCCCATTCACAAAATAACTTGAGAAATGCATATATTTTTCTCATCATTTTTGTGAATGGAGAGCCATTGATTGGCTGAGAGTGTTAGCTAGCTAACCGCTCTAGACCAATCAGCGGCACCCCTGCTAACAGCAGCTATAATCTTCCATTTTGACATTTCCAACAAACAGACGAAGAAGGGGAAAAAAGATCCGGTGCTGGAACACAGACTTTGGGGGTTATACAGTTCCCAAAATGTGAGCGAATGCCAGTGAACTCCTGGAACCATAATAATTACATTTTGAAAAAGTTGTTATGGTGCACAAACTGTTCCTTTAATTATACTTAAGGAACACTCCAATGGAATTGTTTTAACAATTTAGAAGATATACCCCCAATAAAACATGCATACATTTATTGCTGCTTTTTATAAATTGGGGATACATCTAAAACAGTTTGCAAAAGCTGCATAATTCATCTGCTGCCTCTGCAAAAACCCTCCCCTATTCACACCGCTCAGACTTTCTGTGGCTGACCTATCACAGACTTCCCAATACAAGCTAAAGTGCATTAGGTGTTTGGAGGACTCCTCCTCTGTATACCATATATAAGCACTTCATGTAATGGTTCACAACTCACTTTTACTTACCCCTCACCCACTCCTCCTCTAACTGATTATATACCCACTCCCTTATAACTCCTCCTCTAACTGCTCCTATACCCTCTCCCTATAACTCCTCCTCTCACTGTTCCTATACCCACTCTATATCTCTGCTCTAACTGCTCCTAAACACACTCCCTATACTCCTCCTCTCACTGGCCCTATACCCACTCCCTATAACTCCTCCTCTAACTGCTCCTATACCCACTCCCTATAACTCCTCCTCTAACTGCTCCTACACCCACTCCCTATAACTCCTCCACTAACTGCTCCTACACCCACTCCATATAACTCCTCCTCTAACTGCTCCTATACCCACTCCCTACAACTCCTCCTCTTACTGCTCCTATACCCACTCCCTATAACTCCTCCTTTAACTGCTCCTATACCTGCGCCCTATAACTCCTCCTCCAACTACTCATATACCCACTCCCTATAACTCCTCCTCTAACTGCTCCTATACCCACTCCCTATAACTCCTCCTCTTACTGCTCCTATACCCACTCCCTATAACTCCTCCTTTAACTGCTCCTATACCCGCTCCCTATAACCCCACCTCTAGCTGCTCCTATACCCACTCCCTATAACACCTCCTCTAACTGCTCCTATACCCACTCCCTATAACTCCTCCTCTTACTGCTCCTATACCCA